AGGAACCACGCCACTTACGGTCATGTTATCTGCTAACGACTGATGCGAACATTCGTTTGCATGCTATGAGAGATAAGCTAAGGAACGTAGACTCACTGTAGTGGTAGCGCCTGATAGTGGAAATGAGGAGCCTTTAACCCATAGGTCTGATGAACCTGTATCGATTTGGACAGGATACGCTGCAAAAATGGTGATATCCATGAACACAGTCCATTGACCCGTTGGAGGAGCGGCATACCAGTGTCAGCTATAGTGATCTGGCATTGATGCCCGTCCATAAGTTAACGAGGAAAATAGTATACTGTACACTCACATTCGCAATGTACAGTAGGTCACGGACAGTACTGAGAAGCCGTCATCAGCGTTGAGACATACTGAAGGTGATGCAGGAGGACTCACGATAGGTCAACACTCTCCCCGCTGCTCGAGCTAGTAGTAGCATATGAGTAGGATGTTTTCCCGCCTCTCCTCTGTAGGGCGGATTCACCGGATCCGCGCTGGTGTCTTGAGAATGATATCCTCGCAGCATGTGACAGAGAGATAGAAAATGCGAGCCAGAGCGTGAGTCGAAGAGCGTGTAGCCTCATGACGACCGAGGCAAGTCAGGGAACGAAAAGCAAAGGAGTGGCTGAGATAACGAGAGGCGGCCCGAAAGAGAAAGGGATAGAGGTAGAATGAGTAGCGAAGCCGGACACCGCGCAGAGTGAGTTAGCAGACGCTAAGCATGTAACGGATGCTGTCCGCCTATCGCCGTGGGAATGATCGGATCGCTGGAACGAGGGGTAGTAGCGCGGTGTGCACAGTCGCGACAGAGCACTTTAACGACGTGAACGATGAGCTGAGGAGAGAGGATGAGTTCGTACAGCGACGCTGCACATTGTGATCGCTGTCTCGCCTGCCACCGGTCAGAACAGATTGATGCACTTGATGGCGATCACGTCCAGAGATCCGACGAACGCGACCACCAATTGCTCAGATGAGATGCATCACGAAGCGGTCGCGTATTCGGTCGAGGTCGCATATGTGATGATAGACGACCAAGATATTGCGAGTATTTGTACAGATGCTGTCGTCGGCGACGTGCATGCGTACGACGGCGAAGGTCATCCGGCGGGCCTGATGACCGACTCACGTGGGCGCGTTTGCGACTGTTCGGGGCTCCCCTTCCCTCTCCCGGGATGCCTCGACTATAAGAATACTCCGGTGCATTTAGTCGTACGTTGTCTCCTTCCTCACCCCAACATGTCTCCCCCTCCCGCCTCCAGAAGCGCGATTAAACGCCTACTATATGCAGCACAGCACAGCGCATGCCCCTGCCATGGATGCCGAACAGGAGGGTCGCATAGTCCCATGCAGGCAATCAGCCAGATGAGAAAGTTTGCTACCCCGGTGGAGGCGCATCCGGTAGAGAAGGAGTATGCATTTGAGGCGAGTTTCTCCCTTGGGAATTACCCTGTTGGAAGTAATGACGCTAGCGGGGATATGATGCAGGTTGCCGCAGCGAACTTACGCTTCGGAGAGGGCGTTACGCGTGAGGTCGGGATGGACTTGAAGAACATGAAAGCGCGGAAGGTTTGATTGCGATTTGTTCTAGTATCTGATACAATCATGCTGAATGGTCAAATGCATCAGGTTGCCGTCTTCACAGATCCCATCGTTGCCAAGTTGCCGCCAGCCAAGATGGTGCGTCATCCCGCATTCGATTCGGATGGCATCTACATATTGATATGTCTTTCCAGGCGATTGCATCACTGGAATCGCAAACCGACCTGCCTTTTGTTGTATACGACCGTGTGGTAGCTGAGCCGACAGAAGCCAGTTGGCGAGATGCGATTGCATGGGCGAGAGAACACGATTGCAGCCACTACCTCGCGTAACTGGACGTCTTGCACAGTTTGCAGTAATAAGGCTAACGGACGTGCATACACAGTGTTGGTGGAGGCAGCGTCATGGATACCGCAAAAGCTGCGAACCTGTACGAAACTCGTTCTTTCGCACATAGCTGATCGATCTCATAGCGTCTAGGTTCTCGGTGTACAAGGATGCAGATCTATTTGACTTTATCAATGCACCGGTTGGCAAAGGACTGCCGATCACGCAGTCTCTGCATCCTCTCATTGCAGGTCCGCCTCATAGCTCCTTTCTAGCTAGGGCTCCTCCGCCGAGGACGACTAATCGTTCTTGATAGTGCCCACGACCGCTGGCACTGGCTCGGAGACCACGGGTACAGCAATCCTGGACATTACTTCCATGTCATTCAAAACTGGCATTGCAAACCGGGCGATGAAGCCCGTCCTGGGTATCGTAGATGCGCTCAACACCCGGTCCTGTTCCAGAGGTACGGATGTTCCTCTTTAGACAGTTTGCTAACGGTCTGATCCTGGATCACCTGTACAGAACTGCACATCAGTGCTGGCTTAGATGTGCTTTTCCACAGTCTCGAAAGCTACACTGCGATTCCGTGCGTTTTTTGAATCGCCTTTTGGGTGATGAATTCTTACGGGAACTAGGTACACCGAGCGTGTGCCTCGACCGTCAAACCCGGTCCTCCGACCAGCCTATCAAGGCAGCAACCCCGTTGCGGATGTCTTCTCTATGTGGGCTTTACACACAACTGTGAAGTATCTTCCGCGTATCTCGAAGAGTTTGGAGGACTATGAGGCAATGAGACAAATGGTGTAAGAGGGCGCGCTGCTTACAAAGAAAGACGTTTTGATGAACGCAATATGCAGGTTGGCGGCTTCGTTTGCAGGTATTGGGTTTGGAAATGCCGGAGTACATCTCTGTCATGGTATCAGCTATCCGGTGAGTTTGCCAATTGGCTGCGTAATAGCAATCCACAGTCTGACGAGAACCAAGATTTCTGGATTAAACAAGCAGGGACCGAAGTACAAATTTGCTGGGTACAACGTCGACCATCCCATTATCCCACATGGTATCAGGTATATCCCAACTAGCTGTTGACAGCGTGTGTAGTTTGGCTCAACGTTGAAAAGTGTCGCGCTTTCCGCACCTGCCGTCTTCCAGTTCACTGCACCCTCCTCTCCTTCCCGGCACCGTGAGGTGCTCGCAATCTTCCTAGGCACGACACCCGCCGATCCCAGCATCTCCTCCATCCCCGACTCGGAGATCGGCGCGCATCTGTTCGAGGCGATTGCACGCTTCCTTGATAATCTGCACGTCCCACGTGGTCTGAAGGCCGTCGGGTACAAGAAGGAGGATGTGCCGAAGCTGGTGGAGGGCGCGATCCCGCAGAGGCGAGTTCTGGACCTTGCACCGGGTATCGGCGATGTGGCCGGCGCAGATGGGCGGGAGCACTTGACACATATCATTGAGCGTTCAATGGAGTATTGAGCTCTATGTCATGGGAACATTAGTGTAACGCTAGAAATCGTGTAAGAAAAACGGACCATTTGCTAACGCGTGCATCCTCGCACAGTGATACATGCTCGCGCTCGCCTGGATATTATCTGTCTTGCCAGACAAGTCATGATGCATGGATATCTGGATCCTTGAGCGTGATCAGCCACAGACGCGTTCTGCGGTTCAAAACAAATCACGAGAGCGCGTCAAGCATTTTTTTGGGAACGAGCGCCCCGCTCATGATTTCTGAGTCTGACTTACTTATCATATGGTACAATCACTGCGCCCTGAATGCGCTTGTTTCCTCACACCCTTATCCTCCCATCATCATCTGCTCCAACCATTTATTCGCTCTATTTAACTGGAATCAAGAGGAACATGTCGACGAGGAGTTACAAAGACGCGATCGACCATCTGAACTCTCTTCAATCTAATGCTGCCGCCCTCGAGGCCGTTCGGGCATCGGGCGGCCGCCTGAGCGAGCTTGCAATACCCGAGATGGTCGAATATCTGAACAGGATTGGCTACAGTGCAAGTGCATTCATCTTGCATTCGTGAGCAGGTCTTTAAAGAAAAGTGATCAACAGACCTCTGACCTGAACCGACTAAATGTGATACATATCACTGGTACGAAGGGCAAAGGCTCCACGTCCGCATTCACAGATTCGATAATTCGGCACGCTATGCCTCAGTGGAAAGTCGGTAAGTCGGATGCATGTCGTGCTCCGCTCGAATCTGACGAAGTTGCAGGGTTATACACTTCGCCACATCTTATCGCCGTGCGCGAACGGATACGCATAAACGGAGTACCTATACCAGAGGAGCAATTCGCGACTTTCTTCTTTGACGTATGGGACAGGCTGGAGGAAAATGACACGGTGCGTTCCAATATGCACACTCCAGCGAGCATGTCGACCGACATCTCTCTAGAGAGCTCTTCCGCAAACATCAAAGATGCCGGGATACTTCAGATTCGTAACTCTTGTGGCCTATCACGCGTTCCTGACCCTCAAAGTGCCCGGTCGTTTGCTCGCTTTCGCACAAATCTGACCTTGCTATCAGGTCGACGCAACAGTCCTCGAAGTTGGCGTCGGCGGGATGTACGACAGCACGAACATCGTACCGAAGCCAATCGTCACAGGAATCTCAGCCCTCGGCATCGACCATACCGCTGTGCTGGGCAAGACACTCAAGGAGATCGCGTGGCAGAAGGGAGGCATCTACAAGGTTCGTAGCGCACCACTGCCCCGCCAGTGAGACTTATGTTATCGTAGGAAGGCGTTCCGGCTTTGACAGTCGATCAACCGGAGGAAGGAATCGAAGTTCTTCGGCAGCAAGCAGACGATAGAAAGGTTAGATACTGATCACAGCATGTCATTGCCGCGTTTACCATCCTCCTCAGGCATCTGAGTTCATAGTGGCGCAGCCTACACCTGGGTTGTCAGAGGTCAAGCTAGGTATGTTGCGAGAATACAAGCTGACACAACACTAATAGATAGATTGGTGTAGGCCTGGCAGGGTCCCATCAATACCAAAATGCAAATCTAGCAGTTCATCTCGCAAAGAAATTCCTGCAAGCTAAAGGCGTCGTGGAATCAGAAAATGGATTGCCTGAGAGCTTCGTGGAGGGTCTTCAACGTACGAAATGGCCAGGACGCTGTCAGACCGTCCCAGACCCTAAGCACTCTACCTTGACTTGGTTCCTGGATGGCGCACATACGAAGGAGAGCCTGGAGTGCTGTATGCAGTGGTTCGTAAGCCCTGACGTTGCCTTGCGGCATCCACCTACATCGTATGTACAGGTCACCTCGCATGCGATGACCCTACTCCGATTTGACAGAGTAATGTAGCCAACAGCCAAGAAGAGTGTTAGTGTTCAACTGCACGAATGGCCGCTCCGGCAAGGCGTTGTTGGGCACAATGATCGACAAGACGGCTACCCAGCTGAAGCTCTATGGCCGTCAGGATGGCCTAAACATGTTTTACGACCACGTTATCTTCTGTACCAATGTGACCTACGCAGACGGCGGGTTCAAGGGCGGTTCGTGTGTTTGCTACCTCGACTTGACCTCTAGTTCACGTAACCCTGCACAGACCTTACGACTTTTGCCATTCCGACAGATGACCTCGCACACTTGCAAACGCAGCACGATCTCGCTACAGCGTGGTCATCATTGCTGTTTGCATTCCCCTCGGACCATGTCCACGTCCTGCCTTCCGTTGAACATGCTATCAAGCTCGTATATAACCTCCGTGCCGAGTCCGCAGAGCGGCAGACGGACGTGCTTGTCTCGGGCAGCTTACACCTCGTCGGCGGTGTGATTGAGGTCGCGGGGTTGTCTCAAGTGGCGTTGTGACGCAAGTGCTGTTGATACTAGATTTTCCTAATTTGCTATGATTTTTCTGTCATGCGCCTTCAACAGTCACCTAGATTAGACAAGATACCATACTTTACAATGCTACCGTCTCATCTATGTTCGTTTTCTCCTTGCCCTTTTTGACATATAGTTTGAACCTCCGTCATGATGATGGATGGCCTGCGAGTGGCGTGTCAATCGCTGCATTGACGTGGTGGTAGTTGAGCACACTTACATGACGGTCAAGGAAGCAGCGGAGTCTGAGCATGATCGGCCTGAGCCCTCGTCGGGGTGGGGGATCCGGTAATATGCCAACAGCAGTCGCGAACTTCACAAATTCATCGATGTGAATGGGCTGGTGATAGCACACTGTCAGGCCAGGGCGACCGTCAAGGCAAGAATCTAGACTGACCTCGTAGTGAAGGATGCGCAGACGGAGTGGCCGATCAGCCAGAATGGCTTGCCTAAGTCGTGCGTCGTATTCTTCGTCAGATAGCTTCTCGTTTTTGACAGGTACAATGTTTGTCTTAGAATTCTCCATTTTTTTGACTTTTGTCTCGGGAGTCTTCTTGCTCTTGACGTTTGACTTTAGAATCTTCTTGATTTTGATACGTGCTATCTTTGTCTTGGAAGTCTTGTTAATCGAACGGGATGACGGGGAGTTGCTCCCACAGTCCGAATGAAGTTCATTCATTGGAAGCGATGAGTGAGTAGGTGTGCTTGTACTGAAGATGGAGTGTTTTGCATCCTAAATGTTATCAGTCCGGTTTTCGCGTTGGCGTCTAGAAAGCTCACATAGTAATCGATAGACTGCCTAGAGCCGGCCTTATCGCCGCGAGACGACCTTGAAGAGCCTGCTAGTTTGCTTGGGGCAAATGCCTGGGTCGATGGTAGCGTCTTCGAATCTTCCGGGACCTCGACGCGCGGGATGAAGACTACGTGCGCTGGCTTTGACGTAAGCTTACTACGACCAAACGCCTGAGCTGACAGAGATGCTGCAGACTGCGCGTCTTCATGGGGAGTACGTCGTCGCTTTGTCAATGCACTTTCGCCAAAACCTTGCGTAGAAGGAGGTAGGCGGGTTTTTTCAGCGGTATTTGACTCTGCAGAGACAGTTATCATCACTCCCTGTGGGCGAGCTGACGGGTGTCCAATCAGTTGGCGAGCCTTGAGCAGAATTTGCTCTCGTGTTTCCGTCAAGCTCTTGACAGTTGTGACGACCGCGGGACGCTTGCCCCTGCGTTTTGCCCCGGCGTCGAGCACGGCGTCCTGCAGCAGAGTCTCCGCTTCCTGCTGCTTGTGTTTTGTCTTCTTTTCCGGCAGGATAGGCACACGGTCAATCTCTTGGCGTATCATGACGGCAATCGTGGCGTCAGTGAGTGACCGCCGCTTAGCACATGATCCGATGTGCTTGAGCTTGCGGACAGTTGTCTTCCTGGCGGTCCACAAAGACTCACAAACGACGCACTTGAGGAGCTTTGCGAGCTCAGCCTCTGAGAATCCCTCGGCAAAGGCCCGGCTCGCGGAACGTGCAGCCCTTTTCGCAGGTGATAAAATCTCGTCTGAGCTCGAGGATGCTGAAGCTGCGCGGGAGTAATCGCGCCGTACTGGTGCATTGATCGTCGACTTGCGAGCAGCGGAGTACGCGAAACCGCGTATATTAAAACTTCTGATGTCTTTCTCTTCATCCGAGCCACTTGCTGAGAAATTATTTGTCGGCTTGGATATAGCACAGGGACTGGGTGCATTCGTGACAGTGCCTTCATTGCGACGATCGGCAATTGAGGGGCTTTCATTGAGCAGGTCGTAAACGGAAGGCATGTAGCCATTACTAATGTCTTCCGCTACTACTTTATGAGTATGGTCGTAAGTGCGTCCACTTTGTACTCACCGATGATCTCAAACTGCTCAGACTGCGTGGTTGGAGACGCCGGGGTGCCATTACTGGGAGAGCTCAGAGCGCTACGGCCAGAACGACTATCTGTGGTTACCCTCAGACCAGAAATTTGAGCTACTGCATCCATGAACGTACCAATCGCGTCGAAAAACGCGCTATAGGCAGAAAGAGCACCGAATTTAGAGGATTGGGACACGTTCCTAGATGCCGCCGGACCATCTTCGCCGTCCGACGATTCAACGACTGCAGTTTTGGACACCGCACTATTCCTCAGGCCATCAGACTGTCTCTTATGTCGCTTTAATTGTCGCCTACGTTCCTCCCTCTCAGGCTCGGAGTCGTCCACAATGTCCGTAGGCGCAGGGTGCACGAACCGGACAGACTGTACAGAAAGTGGTTTGTACATTCCAGCCGGCATGGTCATAGAGTGAGCTCGAATAGCCGAACACGTGTAGGTCTGGAGGGAGAGACAGGCGCGTTTCATGAGCGAGATAGCGAGAACAACATGCGAGACGCGTCGACGCGACGAGCCAATTTGCTAAATAAGTAGGTCGCGTCCGCACGCGTCTGACGGCGTCCTTCCGCCACAACTGAGGTCGCCCGCTGGCCTCGATCCTCCCCTTCGCCTCGTTGCTCTGCAGCTTGGACATTCCTGAACCAGAATCATGCCCACAAAGGTCACGCCTGCACAGGGTGAGACAGTCTCGCCTGACGAACTCTACGATGTTCTATGCGGCGCCGCATCTCAGGACCCAGCGGTGCTGCAGTCCTCCGCCATGCGGTTGAAGCAGATGCTCCAGTTGTTCGGCGCTTTCAATATCTTGCACGAAATTGCAGCCCAGAAAACAGTTCCGCTTCCAGTGCGCCAGCAGAGTATTATTCAGTTCAAGAACGCTGCGTTGGGCCATTGGCGGTCGAGGAGGTGAGTTAGGTTTCTTAGTCCGTTGACATTTCTTGTGAACGAACACCCTTTTAGGTTCCTATCCGATGAACAGCGTGTGAGCATACGTGGTCGATGCTTGTTATTACTCGACGAGAGTGATGACGTCGTAAGCAAATCCCTTTCATCGAATGCTGGCGTAGTCGCTCAAAATGCTCAGATTTCCGAATGCAACTCGGTCATTATTGCAAAGATTGCACGCGCAGACTACCCTCAGCACTGGTGCGTCGTGCGTGTGCGTAGTTGGCAAGCTCTTGACGTCTCGCAGGCCTGACCTCATACCACAATTGTTGGCTGTGATCAACGGAAGCATAGAAGCGCGTTCTACAGATCTCAGCATGAGCTCCGCGATGCCTCTCCGTCGTGCATTAGAAGCAATGAATGCTATCTTGAAAGAGTTCATGAGCTTGAAGCTCCCCGCAGGAATCAAATCAATGGCCGAGGTGAGTCCACTTGACGTGCAGCAGCATTGCCTCTAACTTCAATTTCTGTAACAGCTCGTACAACAGCTTCATCTAGTAATGATGGGTCACTACTCTCAAGTGACGATGTCATTCTCTTCCTCAATAACGCCTGCCAGCATCACGCAACCACATGTAGTGGAGGATCTGCTTGTAGCTCATCTTGTGTTCAAGTGCGTCGTTAAGATGGCCGAATGGAGCTGGAATCGCCTTGTCAATGCCAAATTCGTAGATGTTGAACCGTGGGTACGTGGGACTCATGGTTCTCCGTCACTTATCCACATTTTCTAATTCCGTCGATAGATACACCAACTATTCCAAGCATCCGCAGTACAGCTACAAACATTGTCTGAATTGCGGATCAGTCTTGTCTCTGCTACTCAGATGCAGCCATTGACTAGCATTGGGCAGCGTTCTCTGGATCTACTGACTCGTCACGTCCGTCTCTTTGGAAAGCTCTTCCAGCGCATGCAGAAGTTGAGCCCCAGTCGATTCGTTACCCTTCCGATGAGCAGTGATCTCGTGCTGTATTATTGGAGTAAGGTGGTGCAAGCATCCAGTGCTCCCCCAGAGTACACCGCAGGTACGTCCCGCTTTCCCGGGCCGTTCATGAACGCGACATCATACCTGCTAGCTTCTAGACACTCCCACTGCTGTATTTCCTGTCCGCTTTCTGGTGCAAGCTATGGTCCTGTTCAAGGACAGCCTACCGCAGTGGGCGCCTGTGCGTAAGGACGGGACCGAAAATGTGACATGTACGTGCAACACACAAACCATGAACGGAATCGATGTGCTCATGGTTGCCAGCTTTGACCAAGGAGTTCGTGGAAAATGCTGTGAAGCTGTTAGTCACGCGTTTCATTCCATTGAATACCGGCGATCTGCAGGAATGGGAGGCCGATCCGGAAAATTGGGTCAATGTCGAAGAACAGGAAAACGAGCAGTGGGTCTTCGAGCTCCGCGTAAGCTCTATGCTGCATTTCTTTTCGAAGCTGATCGTGCCACTGGCATGAAGCCATGTGCCGAACGAGTTGTTATGACACTTTCTACCAACTACCATCAATATGTCATACCTCTTCTCCAAATGACCTTCGAGCAGATGGTCGGTGCGTGTCATGCTGCTTGACTCGTATTTCATACCCTTCTAATGAAGCGCAGGGCAACACCCAAGTGATCTTGACAGTGTCGTTCAAAAGGAAGCGCTGTACTGCGCCATCGGGCGATGCGCGCAGAAATTGAAAGGTGTCATTCCTTTCGAGCAGTGGTTAGAACGCACGCTTGTCAGAGAAGCCCAGGAGACTAACCCAAGGTAAGGGGTTACACAGAAATCCGTCTCGTGGATGGTCAGCTCATGATCAATACAATAGCTATCCCATCCTAAAGCGCCGTATCGCTTGGTTGGTTGGCAAATGGGTCTCGGTGGACTGCTGTCCCGCCAATAATGCGCTGATCTGGCAAATTTTGCTCTATCTGCTGCAGGATCGCGGCCCTGGGACGGACGAGGTCGTGCGGCTGACAGCAGCCATGGCATTACGAGAGTGTCTGGACGTGAGTATATTCCATAATGCTTGAGTAGAGGCCTTTACTGAAATAATAGTTCTCATCTAGACAATCCAATTTGACGTTAATGTGTTTGTTCCCTTCTTGCCAGCGGTAGTGAATGAACTCGAACGGCTGACAGCAGAAGCGGAGACGTTGGAGAGCAAGCGTCGCGTTGCTCGTAGTCTCAATACAGTCATTGAGCGTGCTGAAAGTCGCGTAAGTAGGACTGTTCTGGTTGTTGCGTCTCTGCGTTGCTGAAAAACGGTACAGATTGTCCCTTTGATACGCAACATCGCTGGACCTCTGCCTCAACTGTGTATATAACCAAGTTCACACGGGCCAGATGGTTGTGCTGATTGCAGTCTTGCTGTAGGGACAACTGCCGGAGAAGATTGGCTCTTCAAGGTTTCGCTACTCGAGACAGTGACAAAATTAATAGAGGTAAGACCATGCTCATGTGCAGAGTCCCTTATCATTGATCATTCGTGTACGCACAGTCCTCGAAAGAACATTCGGTGCCTCTGAGTAGTCTCGTCGTGCCTCTAGTGCGTGACAGCCTGTCACCTGGAGTGAGTTCAGATAGTCAGATATTGCAACGGTGCTGGCTAACCGACTTTCAGTCTATACTCCACTTGGACCAGGATGCCATGATCTTGTGGCATATGGCACTGCGAAATACCGTTACTTTGGAAGGAGTAGACGGCGGCCCAGGATTGATCGAACTGTTCCCTATTGCCATTTCGCTGCTTTCTGAAAACCTGGACTTGCTGGGAAAGATCGTCGACATAATCGAGTCGTACTACCTGCTGGATCCCGCACGTGTGCTTCAGGTACGTCGCGGACACCATGTGAAAGAGAAAGACTGACATTAATGAGCTCCGGTGTAGCCTTTTGCGGTAGATTTGTTCCGTGCTTATGTCAAAGCGATCAAGCAAGCGATGGGAGTGAACATCACGAGCATGGCGACAAGTTTGACAATACTTTTCCAAATTGCTCCGTCTGCGCTGTGGGGAGAGGCGCTACACGTTTCAGGACTCTTCGCCCTTCTGGTCAAGACTTTGGTTGATGACAAGGTACAGATATTCTCGTGATCCTCGGACCGTCCATAAATTGACATCCGTTAACACATCTAGGCATCCACGCCTGTTCTGACATCCTATATTTATGTGATGGCACGAATAGCCTTTGCGGACAAGCAACTATTCCTGAACCTGATGTCCGGAGCAGCGCCGATTCTAGAAACTAAAGAAACAGAACTTTGGGAGGGTGTCTTGAATCAGTGGTGGACCAGGGTGCGTGAGTTTCACGTCGTGAAGGACACATGTCATGACATCGTAGCATCACGTAGTTCGATAACATGTCAGAGCCTCGTCTCCGGAAGTTGGCGGCAATGGGCATAACAAGCCTTGTATCCACCGGTCGGCCCGAAGTTCTCGACCGCCTCTCCACGGAGATTTGCAACCTCTGGATGGATGTCTTCAGTGAGATCAAGGAGGCGCAAGTGCAAGATGAAGAGTCTACGTAAGCGTGGTTGTCTGTTGCTGTGCGGCATAACTGACCGTGGCTTCTAGCGATCCGACTCTAGTGGCCTACTGGGATCAGCCGACCAACTCCTTCTACAAAGAGTCCGAAAACACTCTTGAGTATGCTCGCCGCAAAGCTGTACGTTGTGCCATTTATATCTCCGGATTGTCACTGATGTGGGCTGTCAGCTTTATGATAATGACCCTGCACGAACTATCCAGTTGACCGCTTACGTCGCCGCTCGGGTGCAAGAGGCCGAGAGTGTGTGCGGGGGGTCGGCTGAATTCAACAGGCTGTACCTCGAGGACGCCGACCCCCTTGTCTTGCAGCAAATCGGTGCAGAACTGACACGCCGATGAATTTTGCTGTGCGTACTGATCTGTTCGACATTGCAGCAGCACTCAACCACTGCTTGACGATAGGAATCGCCCGTGAAGTAGCGAATTTACATGGCTCCATAATGTACCTAATATGTAGCTTGAAGTGCATAACGATGGAATGGATCCCCATTTGAAAGAAGACGCAACATCTACAATCACTATTTCTTGCCAAAGAAAGTCATAAGAGTTGAGTTGGCGGGAGTCTTCGCAGTGGATTTCCGACTCTTCAAGCCAGAGGAATCGCCGGAGGTTTTGCTTGCTGTTCGATCGTTTACCTTGATCTTAGGCTTGGTATGCCCCTTCGCAAATGAGCTCCTCTTTGTCTTTATCTTCGCAGATTCGTCTGCTTGTTCCTCTTCTTCCTCGACGGATTCATACGAGGAATAGTCCTCCGTGACTTGATGAAACCGGTCAGCCAGAGCACTTACTGTAAAATATAACAGGTCTCACTCATGTATCCCTTCTCGTCTACCTTTGTCCGACTTTTGAGAACTCGTCTCTTCTTCAATCCATTCCTGCCGGTAGGGATGACTTTCTTTTCCCTCTTCCTCCTTGGTTTGTTCTCGACCCTCTCTGGTTCCGAGTCCTCGACCATCTCGACATCAACGTCTTCGTTTTGCGTCTCGTCCGCTTCTGGCTCGGTGTCCGGCGGCACGGAATGCGACACTCTGATGACCTCATCTGTTAGGCCATGAGTTCTCGTGCAACGATCCCCACGCAACGCTGCACGCACCGTCATCAACATCCATCATCGCCCTGAGGCTCTTCTCTGCTTCAGTCGGAGTCTCACTGCGCCTAGATCTTGGCCTTGCCTTCCTCCTACTGCTCGCTGGACGAGAGTACGTGTCAGGCTTCTCGAACTCCTCATCTTCCGAAAGGACAACACCCTTCTTGGGTCGTGTGGGAAGAAGAGGCTTGAACTCTCCCTCGCCCTCTTCGGAGTCCAACATGAGACGCAAGGTCGGCTTGCGCTTCATTGTCCTCTGTAGATTGCTTAGCGAGCCATTCGTACCACTAGAACAGTGCAGAGCAACCTTGGGTTCATCCTTTGAGGATGTCGGCCTAACGGAAGCACTTTTGGAGATGGGACTCTTCTTTCGGGGAGGCGGAGACACGCTGTCATCCTCCTCATCCGAGTCTGATGAAGGCATCATCCCGGATTTGCGCTTCGTCCCCCTCTACGGAACAATAATGCAGCAGACGCCAACATGGAACGCATAATATCGGGCCCACCTTGACTACTGTCTTGGATGAAGCCATTGCAGGTGTCCCTTGACGGGAGCTCTCATCTGTGCTCGGTGATGTAGCCCGGCTCTTCTTTCCACTAGCAGCTCTCTTCTTGAATCCATCCTTCACCGACTGCTTGCCCTTTACTGTTCGAATTTTCTCTTCTGTCTCTTTGGCCTTCGCCTTGCTCCAGTCAAGCTTTCCTGATTCTTTCACTTTCAGGGCTGGCGGTTTCTCTTTGTGCTTCGCATGTTCCTTCAGTGTCAGCTTCGGCTCTTCCTTGGGTTCTTTTTTGATCGCCTGCTCCAGCTCCTCCTTTGCCTTCTCTACCTTCTGTTCTTGCTTGACTGAGAGTGAAGATTTTGACCTTGCAAAATCCTTTACTTTTGAGGATGATGCCACAGGTGCTATGTGCCTGCCGATCTATATCATCAAGTGTCAGTAGGCCATGTCAACATGCGCTGAATATGGAACGGACATGAACGTGAGGGCCGACGATCCTTCCTAGTAGTACGGATGCCTCTGACGAGATCTTTGCATCCAATTCGTGCACCTTATCTGAAGGCGGGCAAATGAGGCCTGCATCCTGGACGGTAAAAGGTCATTCGACTCGCTACCCTTTCCGTCCTTCACTAAGATGAGTACGTACAATCAACGGTGCCGGGGACAAGCTGTATATATGTTGCGAGAATAGACGTTTATACTGAGATTTCACCCCTGCTCTCGGGAAAACGTTAGAGGTTAACCAAAGGATGACGTACATACGCACTGTCGACATCAGTCTCTCCGACAAGGGTTACCTTCACAGCGGGTACTTCTTCGCTATCCGGTTCTCCACTATCATCTGCAACTTCCTCCAAGTCCACATCCATATCAGTGGGTTGCGATTCTTGAGATGTTGTCGCTGGTGGAGGCAACACTTCTCCAGTCAAGAGATATGTCGCATAGGCTGGCGACGGTGACCCCTGTGAGGCAGCGTGGAAAGCCGCGAGGTCACTACGTGATGGTGCTCAACGGCAGTTCTGACACTTAATGACGTCCCATCGTTACAGGAGGCACGTACTTCTTTGCAAAATTGACATGAATATTGAAGTGCCGGCTGAGGGAACGGAAGGTGACCTGGTGGTTGTCAGTGGAATACTGCGAGTGCTCGGCGGCCTCTGGCTACTGACCACATTCCTCTCTACAACGAGCTGCTTCGTGAGATAATCGCTGCGTTCAGTCTCCATTGTTGCGAGGAAAAGGCACCACAGTGCAGTGTAAGGGATGGAAGTGAGATGAACGAGCGACGCGACGCGGCCGACGCGTGTGTGGCGCTGGCTGCCTATGGCATGGCCACACCTTCACGAGTCTGTGCTCAAGTTGCTCACAACCCGTTATGGGCTGTATTAAGACGTGTATGCAAACTTCATGGACAGAGTCAGTCCTTGCCCTCCCCGAGTCGCAATCAGGCACTAGACTGTATTTTGCAATGCCATTCATCACATTCCACGGCAGACATGGTGCGATTTATCAACGTGGAAAATTATGTGTAAATGTCTGATTTCTTACACAGGCGACAAATATTTGCAACCACGGCATTTCATGTCGCTATTTGCCATTTAAATGCCACATTAGCAAACCTTTGCCACAAATGTAAGACATCAGCCGACTATTTTTCACACTGATAAATCGCATCATGTCTGCCGTGTTACTGAGTCCTCCATACGTATGAACCGCCATCAAACCATCAAATATCCCATTAGTATCCGCAATTATTATTGCTGTGAGACCATCGACCAACTTTACAGCACTAGACAAAGCACCCATCAGAAACTCTCGCAGCTATTTATGCTTCCTAAGTGTGCACACTCGCCCCTCAAGGAACCTGCTCTGTTCCTTCTCGAGACCTATGAGCGACTCATCGGCTACCATCAGGAATGAACCCTACTTTGATGGTACGCAGTCTGGTAGTATGTCGTGCACTGGCCCATGGCATTTTCCTGGTGATATGTCCCTTGAAATGACGTTGCAGTGACGATCCTATGTGCACAAGTGATAACCCCCCCGTAAATGGGTGTTCAGCTGGAACGTGGTCTCACTCCAAACCACCATTTCTGAAGATGTGCGTCTGGACCGAAGTCAACGCGGCCAACGAAGTGACAGCCGCCCAACAGCAGGCGCATCCAAAGGCGATCATCTTCCCACATCTTATCAAAAGGAATAGGATCCAAGCCTTGTTCTTTGGCGCTGGATATTGCGAACCATTGGGGACGCATCTCCTCCGTCCTATACAGATATGAGTCCGAGTTGCCATTTGAAACACTTCGGTGAAAGCGCTTAATCAGTGACTGTCCCAGAGAATTGTTCCGCGTAGAAGACCTCTATATATGCTGCTTCTTTCGAGTCTGTGCTAGTGAAGAAGAGAGTGCCGCAATGCTCCAAAGGAGCTGTTATGCCAGCTTCCTCCTAAAGTGCTCGCACATGAGGAAAGACGTCTATTATTATGAGCAATATTACCTCAAGCTCACGAATAGCTGCCTCCAGAGGTGTCTCCCCTACGTCTACCTTTCCACCGAAGCCATTGAACCTGAGGTCCATGAGCATCAGCTGTTGATCAGAGATCACCAGCAGACTCACAAATCCTTTCCAAAACCCCTCTTCTTGTATCCGAGCAGGAGCTGCGTTTACAACATGCGTCCATGCGAACAGTTCGGGTAAGAATTGAAAGACAGCACACCTTCTCATCCTGTCTGATGAACGCGTTCGTATATAGCCTGACAGATTCGAAGTCTAACCAAAGCGAAGAGCCTCCTTCCGATATCTTCTCCAGTTCTTCTGTCACGTCTAAGCCAGGTGGGAGAGTGGATTGCATGGTGACAGCAGGAGAGATTGAGCGTGCTAATGGTTACGTGCACGACGCGTCGTGCTGAGCGGAGAGGCGCGTGCTAGGCGGAGAGGCGGAAGACGCGCCCACGTGCATAGCATGTGACCGCGTCTTGCGGACGCTTTAACCAAGCAGCACATTCTCCATGTGCCACAGGAAAAAAAAAAAAGTCTCGGGTTCGCGCCATGCTCACCTGTCAAAACTCGTGAGTGTTCTGCCAGTGGAACCCTTGACAGGGTCCGGCCACTGGGAGGTGAATAAGATGCTGCCAAAGTCGCATCACTACGAGATCGCTATCCTTCAAGAACAAGAACATCAACAACTCTTATTGGTTCATCGTGGGTTTACATAACGAATTCAGCAATATCCCCGTAATCAATCTGGGTTTACCGCGATGGTGAACAGAACAGCACTCTGCCCGTGAAAACCTGGTCCTTGAGCTGATCGACAGCCAGAAACACCTCCAAGTGTTACGGATTCCATATAAACAGAAACAAATTCCATAAAAACTACTATTCTGACATTCCAGACTCGCTGTAACTTCCCATACTGCCGCTCATATCAGTGAACTCCATATCCTCGCTCCCGTAGTCAAAGTCCAGATCGTCCTCATCATCCTCCTCGCCACTCTCGTATTCCGATCCTTCCGCCTCTGCCTCAAGCCTGTCGGCACCTATTACGCCCTCGGTACAGCGCAAACATTCCCACCGTGTTCCACCTGGCCCTGAGCCGGAACGATCTTCTGCTGTGCGCACCATCCGCTCTGAAATGCAATAGTAGCAGTAGACGTGCTCGCACGATGTGATGTACGAATTATGAATCGGGTATGCGGGCGGTTCGTCACTGTGTCCCGTCGCATCAGTTCCAGGCTGCGGTGTGTTGGCGTTGCTGTAAGGAGAAAGGCTGTCCACCGAGCTGAACGCATTGGCAGGATCGTTCAGATTGAAATTCGTGGATGCATTTTCAACACAGATGGCGCATTGATCCTCAGGTAATGACCAATATGGTCCTCGCCGCGTGTGTTGCACCGTTTGCGCGTCATCCTGTGCTTTCAGGCCGACAAACGAGCGAACCGGCCCCGGAAGTAGACTAGATGGTGTCAGCCGAGACATTGATATGGAAATCCAGCGTCGCAAAGCTCGGGTATTTATCAAAGGGAGGAGGAAGAGCAAAAATTCCTATAAAGAGTTAAAAGAAAGATCAACGAGCCATTTTATCCTATACTCACCGTGAAGGCATGCCAAACCATCTGACGATTCATATACTCGTATGAGACATCCCGTCTGGTAAGTCTCTGCGTCGGCACCAGCCGCAAGCCGAACAGCCTGTCAGCTAATGTGCGGAACCTACAGACGTCAGCGTTGCCTGAAACGTGAGAATGCAGTTGGATATATGCTCACCGTCCATTCCATAGGAATGCGATGAAATTTAACAGTCCGAATAGGCCGTGTGTAGACTCGACACGGGTGAGGAGTTCCCAAGCTTTCCGTCGCCGATCCGAGGATGGAGCATCCGGCCATGCCTGAGACAGTGCATGGTTCCGGAGCCGCGTGTGACAGTAGGGGACAAGCGTGGTCAGAGCGCCATGAAGAATGAGTGTATGGTAGGAGAGCCCGGCCCCTGCACGCATATCAGACATATTTCTCCATAACAAGCATTCTCTTACCCGTTTCATTCCTGCCACTGCCTCCTTGAGTCGCATATCTCAAACCTTGCAATCCTGCGCCGTAGCTGGCACCGGTATTCCATACCGATAGCTTGTACAGTGTCAGCTGGATGAACAAGGCCACTTCCGGCTCAAAGCGAGCCTTCCAGGCGGACTGCAGCAGGACTACACTTCAGGGCAGAGCACATGAGAGGAGGGGACTGAGCGAACATTGACAAGGCTTAAAGCCTTTACAAGAGGTTCTGTGAGGAGCTGGACGAGTTCTTGATCCAACAGCTCCGCGTCAAGTTGACCGACGCGTGTTATACGAGGAGCAGGAGAAGTCGAAGACACCAGAGAATCTTTGATTTGCACCAGTCGCGGCTGGGCAGCCTCCCATGCGTGCTGCCATGAAGGAGGGATGGTGGAGGTCAGAGACGATGACATGGGGCGTCGCGATCATCGTGAACGCGTGGGCGGCGCGATCAAGTTATGTCTGCGCGTCAAAGTACTTCATGCTCTTGAGTCTGCCATCTCTTTCCATCTGCGCTCTGTGAGATCTGCTGAATATTTTGCTGCCTCTACATTCTGCGCTTTCTGACTGCGAACGTATACCAAGATCATAACGCCATGGCTGAAGCGATCCAGCAGCTGATCCTGGACACACTAGATAAATTTGGTACCATCCAGGATACCAGGACTCTGGTCCTCCCAGGACATACACAACCGGCTGCCAACCATGACTCCCAGATCATCATTTTGGGTGCTCTCAACTCGCTCGCGAGTCGCGAAGTGCGTACAGTCCGTTCTTGCTGCTGACATAGAAGCGGAACCGATGGCAAGCCCAGATGATTACCTATACTACACAAGAGACTGTATCTCATGTGCTCACTCCGGAGGGTTCACAAATTGCGCTGCAAGGATCCCATGAGGCTCGCGTTTGGGCAGCGGTGCCCTTCAAAGGCGAGGGCGCGCCGATGACTCCGAAGCAATTGGAGGAAAGAGTAGGGGCGGACATTGCGAAGATCGGGCAGGGCCGTGCGTTCAAAAACAAGTGGGTCGGCAAGGAAGGGGGTGGTCTGGTCAAGATCGTATGTGCAACATCATGTTCTGCAGCACATTACTCGGAAGAGTTGAGATAATCTCGTCCAGGCGTCAGAAATCGTCGATGTCACGCAGCTGGAAATGCGTGAAGTTGATTCGTCCGGCACGTTGAAGGTGGGAGAGAAAGAGCTGGCGGAACTGAGAAAGCGCAAGCTCATCATGCAAAGGTGATCCACATAGAAGATCGTGCATCCGGACGACAAAATAACTTTAATCCTCTAGAAAAGGCCAATGGTTCACTGTCCGCAAAGGGCCCGCCTTTAGCACCTCCATCGTCAAGCCCGAGACTGATTTAACCATTGACATGCTCGCGACGTATGTTTCTCAAAGTTTCACAAAGAGATCGTAATTGACAATCTGCTGCAGTGGTTCATGGAAAACATCTACATACAAGAAGTATAACTTCGACGCAGAAGGTCTCCCCACAAATGGTGGTGCGCTGCATCCTCTTCTCAAAGTTCGCGACGAGATCCGAAACATCTTTCTGGAGATGGGGTAAGCACTTGCAGCCCCGCCGTGCTGATCCAACCTCACATTTTCCCTTCAGTTTCGCAGAGATGCCAACATCGTCCTTTGTCGAGTCTGGTTTCTGGTGTTTCGATGCCCTCTTCGTACCTCAACAACATCCTGCTCGCGAAGTGCAGGACACCTTCTACTTATCGGACCCATCAACATCCCTCCCACCACCGGAAGCCTACTACTCACGCGTCTGCAAGGTACATGAACACGGTGGGTACGGATCCACAGGGTATCGTGCTCCCTGGTCCGACGCTGAGTCGCGTAAGCTGCTTCTACGCACTCATACCACCGCCTCGTCCGCTGCAATGCTCTGGAAGCTGGCCGCGAAATGCCGAGGAGAAAGGGACGAGGACTTGGCAGGAGAGGCAGCGCATCCTACCCCGCTGAAATCTGGTGATGACGGGTTTAGGCCAGCCAAGCTGTTCAGTATCGATCGCGTCTTCCGGAATGAGACGATGGACGCGACGCATCTGGCAGAGTTCCACCAGGTCGAGGGTGTCGTTGCTGATCGAGGATTGACTCTCGCGGATCTCATTGGTACGTGCGCATACATTGCATCGCTCTTGAGCAAAAAGTCGCTGACTGTCATTTCTGTACCCCCCTCAGGTTTCATGAGAGTGTTCTTCAAGAAAATGGGTATCGAGAACCTCAGGTTCAAGCCTGCATACAATCCATACACTGAGGTAAGATCTATCTATCCTAGAGGAACTCGCGCGCATTATCAATTTATATTCCGCCCGTAGCCATCCCTCGAGATATTCGCTTTCCATCCGCAACTGCGCAAGTGGGTTGAAGTTGGCAACAGCGGGATGTTCCGGCCTGAGATGCTGGAGCCCATGGGCTTCCCGAAGGACGTACATGTTCATGGTTGGGGCATTGGGCTGGAGAGACCTACAATGATTCGGTGAGCATCGACTTGTTCACCATAATCATGCGATCCGGCTCAACTTCCTTTGTGTGTAGTTATGGTATCAACAACATCCGAACGCTCGTCGGTCACAAGGTCTCGATAGAGGGCGTAGAGAAGTCTCCTGCTGTGAGGTTCTGAAAAAGGTTGTCCGCAACAATAATCGTGGAAGTTGATGAACGACGTCTGCGAGAAGCCCTTCACATGTAGCAAGATACCATCTATCATGACGTTATGATCATCTTGTTTGCCATTCAAGCGTGCTAAAGTTACATGGTACAACTCGTGGAAAATCTATCATTGAGACTGCTTTAGAATGAAAAGATTGCTGCGTTCTTCCGCGATCCAAACATGTAAACCAATGCTTGGCTCGTGAACAACCCGACGGTAATACCGATAGTGACCGCGATCATCGCACTTCCAATATCTATGCCACTGCCTTGCGCAGTGATACCTCCTGCTTGTGACAGGCCAGACTGAATAGACGTTAGCGGGGTCTGAAATCCTTTCTACTTCAAAGACGTACTGGCACAAGGAAGAGCACACCCGTGACCATGGCCGTGAAAGCAGTCCCGCCGAATCTCCGAGAGTAGATATTACCGAGTATGCCCACCACGAATGCGCCGATGGCGGACACGACGTCGGAACGATCAAAGATGAAGTGATCCGCCAGCTTGTTTGTGGCATAAGATGCGCAGGAGATCACCACCATCACGAGCATCTGCCAAGACCACAGCGGCTGCAGGTTCGCCATGGATGACAGCAAGGAAAACAAGGGCACGATCAAGAACTGTGTCCAGTACGGGAATGGCTGGAGGTACCATGCGAACGACGGAGGCCGGTAGCAGCCATCTACGATGTATTCGCTAATGGCCGCGGACGAGTTTGAGAACGTGAAGGTCCCGTTCAACGGCTTCCCATAGTTCAGACCCGGTGCAATCGACGTGCTGTTGTCGGTTACAAACAAGCCAGAGAGTGCGACCGAGGACGTCATGCGGGCGGCCAGCGTGGCCAGCTCGGTTCGAGCCTTGCGGTCGAACAAGAGAAACAAATCGGAGCCTATTTGAAGGCCAAAACCCTTGAGACAAGAATCAGAAAGGGACACGCTCGGAGAATATGCGACTGACCAGAAATAGCGTGTATATCAACGCGTACACCATCTTCACGCTGCCGCACACGATGTTCTTTGAGGCAAGCTCAAGAGAGCTGCTCACTATCGCTTCGGTGAGCACATACAAGAATCGACACCAAACGTGACTCACGAATTAAGTACCCCGGAAGAATGCCCACGATGCCCGCAGACGAGATTGCAGTATAACAGAATATTTGAGACCTGATACTGCTCAGTCCGCGAGCGAGGAATGCCACGCCTATGCTGACGCTGATTCTACAACCTAGTTAGACAACGCGGGGACCAATCAACTCGTCGGGGTACGTACTCGTAAACGTTCGCATACATCACAGATTTGGATGCGACACGAATCTGCATTGTGGAGAGGAATACTGCGCACATGCCAGCGATCCACATATCCACCAAGGAGCCACCAAAGGCAAGCGGGCAGATCAAAGCGGATAAGAGAAACGCAAATATCACCCGCACAAAGGCATGATACTCGGGCTTCGCCACAAGCAAGGCATCGAGCTTCGCCGTCGCCTCCGCCGCGCTGATCTCGTCGTGCACGACCATTCTGTATATTTGATGAACTTTATGCAGGCTGCCAAGCGCGAGTCGGCCTGCACATCTGACGAAGTGCAGCTCGGAAGTCTTCGTGAACTGGTTCCCGAAGGAGCACATGATGACACCGGGGATGTGGACGAATTCGGCGTCGACCTCGAGTATCCTTGCAGCTGAAAGGAGCTGGCTTTCAATACGGTGAGAAGGTGCGCCGAACGTCATGAGCGTTTCTGCCAAGCGGATGAGAAATTCCTGCCTATTGATCATCGCTGCGATGCAGAATATTAGCTCTGTGCGACATTGTGAGCAATCGCGGTGCAACTCACAGGTAACGTTGAATTCGATCTTTACTCGAGAGAGATATTTTCTTCGCTGTTTGTAGCTCATACTACGAAGGTAGGCCTTTTCTAGCTCCCCGGTGTCGTCAAGAACGTTCCTCGCCATGCCAGTGATGATCGGGTCATCGGGATCCAAACCCTCGTAATCACTGGCATTTGAAGCTGCCGAATCCCTGCGCTCGAATGACGGCCGTCGAAGATGGCCCGAGATTGAGCCACTGAATGAGCTTTGCCTACTCATGGGCAAGTCAACCAGGTCCTCTTTGTATCCATCGAGCGCTGAGTCAATCATATGGTCAAGGTACGACCGACTGCTCATCTCCCCTTCGTCAGTCCGATGACCGCTTTGCGGACGCTGACCTTCACTTGAACTATCCTCCAGGCTTATGGCGCTGCCCTGAAAAGAGCGATCTCCAAGCGGACTGCGGTAAGATGCAGTTGAATAAATGGACGCGGCGTCATCGTCGTCATATTCATCGTCGTCGTCCTCTAAGAGCGTCGAGGTGCTCGCATCAGAGTTACGGTTGTAACTAGCGCCTGACTCTCCGTTCTGTGCATAGGGATGGTACTGTTGAGGAATGCTTTGAGGAGTACCTTGCCGCGATTGCTCGGCATTCGCGATGGGCCGCATGGTGGAAGATCCTACATTATTTGAGAGCCGTGCCAATGGAGGTGTCCGTGGTACACAAGGGAGATCGTACGTGTCCGTGGATGGAGAGCCGTACGTGTTCTCATGCCAGTCGGAGGACCTGCGAGCATTCGTGCGACGAGACGGAAAAGAGGTAAACGGCATCGTTACCGGTCAAAGAGAATGCAGACTGTGCTCCCCAGATCGTGGGCAGTGCAGAATCAGCGTCCAGTCTTGAATTGTGATCAAACTTGCGCACAAGGAGAGACGAGGTCTGCAAGTCGTGCGTATACGACCCATATGTCAGCCGCCTCGCTACCAAACTGTTAGTCACAGCTGGATTCAGGCTTTGACCAGCATCACCAACAACTTGGAATCGGGACTGGCTGGATGAGTTCCACCGCTCTCGCTTGCACATGTCAGGGTGACTTTGGATGCATCTTGTAAAAATACCACAGCAACATATAACACACTGAAGAGCATACACATCCCCAGTCGTCTGCGTATTGCATCCCTGGAAGCGAGGCAGGGTTAGCATTAGACCGCGTGGCCAGCACACCATGAGATGAACAGCACCTAGTCTCCACGATAATGGTGAGGCAAAGTCCCACATCATGTCCAACGTTGGTATGTACAACCAGAAATGAGTACTATCATGGACTGTCCGGGGGTCCGATCCGTGACTCGATCGCGCACCGATGAGATCTCAGGTCGATTGCAGCGTGCTCTGCACATTCACCGATTTCTCTTGTGCGACCTTTGCCTGTATTCACCTTCTACGTTATCTACGCGGTCCGGACGAAAAGCATGCCGACCGTCGCTGTTGACAAAGAGGAGCTCAGGAGGCGACTAGGACGCGAATACTGTGAATACACATTACTCCATCTTGGCGTCTTACCACCACCTGACTCCGGTACATAGCTGCAGACGACTTTGACCAGCTGCTGTTTGACTTTGGACTTGAGCTTGATGAGGATGTGAGTGACATGAGACTCAGTGTCTGTGCAACTCGTGAACGCTGCGAATGGTAGACCACGGAGGAGGTAGAGGCTGCGCGGAAGAAGGGTCTACCTGCTGAGCGTCCAGTAAGTCTGTCGATCCTTCACCAGTCAACGGGAAACATGATCTTTTTGCATTTGACAGCAACTCAAGATTGAAATTCCTGCGAACAGGTTGGCTGCTTGCTAGATGTCTGATCTATTTCTGGAATACCGATGAATGCCTTCAGGTACGACCTCTTGTGCATTGAAGGCATCACTCGTGCGCTCCGAGTATTTCTGGGCCTGGACAAGCCACCACAGTACAAGATTGTATACCCCAAAGGTGGAAAGTCAGATCTGATCACCGTCACTGTTGCTCCTGAGGTGTGTGGCCATTCTCTCGGGATGACCAGTGTTGACACGAAAATCCGTACAGACGAAACAGATCCGGCCGTTCTTCGCGTGCGCAGTGTTGCGCAATGTGAAGTTCACTCAGCTCTCATACGACTCCTTCATCGATCTGCAGGACAAGCTGCACCAAAACATCTGCAGGCGGCGCCAATTCGTCGCGATCGGTACGCACGATCTGGACACCCTCACGGCCCCCTTCAGGTATGAGGCTCGACCGCCGAAGGACATCAAGTTTGTTCCCTTGAACAAGGACCAAGCTTACACTGCGGAGGAGCTTATGACTGTTTATGAAGTCCGTGTCGATTGCACCTTTATAAGATGCGTGCGTCGTTAACTCCACGATTCCAGTCTGAGAAGCACCTTGCGCGCTACTTGCCAATCATTCGCGATTCGCCGGTATACCCAATCATCTACGATACTAACGATACCGTGCTCTCCATGCCGCCAATCATTAATTCGGAACACAGCAAGATCACACTTAACACGCGGAATGTGTTCATTGATATCACTGGGACGGACGAGACAAAATTGAACATTGTGGCCAATATCGTCACGACCATGTTCTCGGAATACTGCGAGGAGCCCTTCACGTACGTGACAATCGTCATGTCTGCGCTCAAATGTAATAAATATATGTTCACCACAGCATCGAGCCTTGCAAAGTCATCTACTCAGATGGGGCCACCCACATCACGCCAGATCTCTATTACCGGCCCTCAATAGCACATGCATCCTATGTCAATTCTTGCACGGGCCTCAATCTCAACGCAACGGAGGTCGCAAACCTGCTCGAGCGTATGACGCTCTCAGCATCGCTCTCCTCCGAAAACCCCGACGAGGTGCTCGTCCAGATCCCGCCGACACGACCGGACATCTTGCACGAGTGCGATCTCATGGAGGACGCTGCGATTGCATACGGTTTCAACAACCTGCCCGATACCTTCCCGTCGACGAGCACCGTCGCTCAGCCGCTTGCGATCAGCAAGCTAAGCGACATCGTCCGGATAGAGTGGGCGTTGGCGGGGTGGGTGGAAGTGCTTCCCCTCATTCTGGTCAGCCTTCACCTCCTTCATTCTCGCCTCTCAACACGCCCCGACTGACATCCCGCAGTGCGCGCACGAAGAGAACTTTGATTGGATGAACCGCAAGGACGAAGGCACGCAGGCCGTGCGCATCGCGAACCCAAAGACGCTCGAATTCCAGGTCGTGCGCACGTCGCTGCTGCAGGGCCTGCTCAAGACGATCCGCGAGAACCGCTCGCACCCGCTCCCGATCAAGGTGTTCGAGACCTCCGACGTCGTGTTCAAGGACCCCACGCGCGAGCGCCAGACGCGCAACGTGCGCCACGCCGCCGCGGTGTGGTGCAATCGCACGGCAGGGTTCGAGGTCATCCACGGCCTGCTCGACCGCATCATGCAGATGCTCGAGGTGCCCCGCATCTCGAGTACGGACAGCAAGGCAGTGACGGGGTACTACATCCAGGAGCGACATGGTGAGTTGCAGACCGTTCTGGCGTTTGTTGTACAGTAAAATTCAGTTCATCTGTGCAGACCCGACCTTCTTTCCCGGACGTGCGGCGACGATCTACTACCGCGCGCCGCCGAATGGCAAGAGCACGCTGAACAACGTGATGCGCGAGCTCAAGGCTGCCATCGGCATGCCGGGAGATCAGGAGATCGGCGTGCTCGGCATCCTGCACCCCACCGTGCTGGAGAAGTTTGAGATTCCGTACCCGTGCTCTGCGGTCGAGTTCACGCTCGAGCCGTTCAAGAAGGAGATGCAGACCGTATGGACCAACGCGGACTGATGTTGATGATGAAAGTAGATGCGCTGTGCAATAGCTAGAGACGTCCTACTAGTGCTGTGAGATATCCAATTCAAAATGTAACGGCGGCTGCGTCTGGTTTTTCAACCTCAGTGAAAAAAAATTAGTATGACACAGTACTGAGCTATCGTACATCAACGAGCGGAAGGTGCATAGGAAGCACTTGACGACGGACGGTCGGCGACGAGCGGCAGGACCAATGTTGAAATTAAAATACAAGCCAGTGTCCACAAGATCGGCAGCACAACTATGAACATCACTCCATTATTCACATTCAGCACAGCAAACGCAACGTGATACACATAGGCGTTCTCCTCCCCTTACACCTCGCAAGCTCATAAGAGCCCCGCCGCACGCAGATCATGGTGCAGCCGTGCCTGCACCGCCATCGCCTGTGCCATGCGCGCATTGCGCTCGGGGTCGTCCGGATCGATGGGGATGATGTACTCGCCGCGCGGAGACGTCGGCTCCTCCTCCTCTTCTACGGGCTCGAGGGCATGAACAAGCGGATCCTCGTCGTCGGGCGCGCGTGTACGCGGGCCGAGCCCGAAACCCGTACGCAGCAGCGAGCCGTCCGCGAGGCCGTGCAGGCCAAAAACGCGCTCGAAGGTGTGGATCAGCGCGCCGTTGGCGGGCCCGGTAGGCCGCGGCGCGTCGTGCTGCGAGTTGAGGATCCCGCGCTCCCATCGCTTGACGCGCCAGAAGCCGAGAAGGGACGTGAGGAGTATGAACCAGCCTGCCGAGAGCAGAGGTTAAAGAATGTACGGAGATGGATTACTAGCACGACGCACCGATCGTCATGAGCAGGAAGGATATCCATTCAGAGGCAGTGTCGCCGACGACGAACGGGTTGTCCACGTCAGGTACCACATCTGACCCTGACCCACTCATCATCGTCGAATTCATCCCGTGATAGAAGTCTTCCGCCTCCTTCGCATTCGAAAAGTGCGGCCGGTCCCACGGGTCGCCCGTCGTCGAGCCCTGGTATCCGCTGCCCTCCGTCGTCTCGCGGCGCATCGCGAAGCCGTACTGGATGAGCGTGATACCGAGCCCCGCGCGCGAGCCGAGCTTCGCGGCGTGGGTGGTGTGGAGGAGGTACGTGAGCAGGAAGCCGACAAACTGGAACGAGATGCTGACGAGCATGTTCCAGAGGAAGGAGAAGAGCGAGCCGGTCGGGAGCCCGTCGACGATGATCTCGCCGGGGCTGCTGGAGGCGGAGGGCGCGTGCACTGTCGTCTCCCAGTAGGGCGGGACGGCGTCGGCCTGCGCAGTGGCGTACGAGGGCGGGGCATCTTTTTGTGTCTCTTCTGGTACGAGGTAAGTTTCGCCACCTGCAATCGCAGTCGAACGATCCGTCAGTCCAAAACATTCCTGCCACCTTGTTCGTATCACGCACCCTCCTGTACTCTTACTGGCCTCGATGGCTTGGCCACCACATTCGCGAACACTCCATCGTTCGACATCCCGCCGCCGACGTAGCCGTTGGGAAGCTCCTCCGCGAGCCCCCAGCGCTGAATATAATGGCTCGGGAGCACCGTGGCGGCCGTACGTCTGAACCACCCGCCGCGCCGCGCATCGCGGTCTGCATCCGTCGCGGCAGGCACGAGTCCATTGCTGTTCCCATAATCGTTCGGATGCGCCTGTGCAGATGGGGACGGCGGCGATCCCGGGGGCGGGTGCACCCAGTCAAAGTCGGTGTCCTCAAAGTCGTACGTGCGTGGTACGTGCGTGCGGGTCGGCGGGGTGTCTGGCGGGGGCGGCCCTGCGGTGGGCTCGTCGTCATCCGATAGCGAGAGAGGGTCGGGCTCGTCGTGCGCGAGTGAGTGGTAGCCGTTGCGTGTGCGTGTAAGCCGTGGTGGCTGCTGTTGCTGCTGCTGCGTGCCGTCCTCGTCGTCCGAATCGTCGAAGGCGTCCTCTAGCTCATGGTCTGCGTGGGGGTCGGTGTGGGTGCTGGGAAGGGGGGCATAGTGTGCGGACATGAAGTAGTGGTAGGCTGCGAATGTAGGGAGAGGCGGTGGATAGCGTTGGCGAAGAGATACAGAGTGATAGATGGGTTGTGGACGCGCGCTTAGATCGTCGTGGCCAATCACCGCCCTGCATCATTTTCGTGTGAAGAATGCGCTGATTGGCCGCGATGCATGATTGGCTGGTCGCTCGCTGGCTCGTGGCTCACTCCCGTCCCGCTGCAACTCCTGTTCGACAGATCTCCGTAATCAGCATCTGTTCATCGTTGCCAACCAGTGCGTCTTCCAATCTCATCGCCTCGCTCAGTTTGGAAAGCCGTACAACTCGATGACCATTGCAGATAAAACCAAAGAAACAAACACCAGTCATGCTACCGACAATACATAGTAGGAATGCGATGCACTGCGCACGTCTACAAACCAGCGGACATCGTATCTGAACGAGCTATATCTGTCCTGCCACGCGCCCATTGGCCAGTCTGGAGCCAGACTCGCTGTACCGAGCGCGTTCTCGACGCACCGAGACTCTTTCTTCCCTCCCCTCCCCTTTTCGCCTAATCGGCGTCGTGCTCCGAGTCACGGTGCGATGCCATCGGACGGACGTGGCGATGAACGCATGCTGCCCACAGAGGCCGCTGTAGGGGTATAGTGGCGTACGCAGAACGTGCAATGGACATTTCGTAGGGCAAGAACTTTGTGAGCAGATATCTGAAGGAAAGAACTCGCTGTAAGCATCGCAATAGTTGAGCGAGTAAGTCTCGTCGCACTGACCATGTGAGCTCACAGCAGGGCCAAGCACAGGTCCGCAGGAGTGCGGTGTGACTCGCGCACGAGCCGCGAAACGCGTTGACAGCTCTCCATGCGCGCGTCGACGAGCTGCGAGAACATCTCAAGTAGGCGTGCGCCCGGCTCGGCGGGCGAGGCACGGTGTGGACGACGACGGCGAGCATGAGGCGAGATGCCCTCGAGTTTCAGCTTCATCATGTTCTTCCGCCGATTCCAGCGCGTGCTGCGCTTCGACTTTGGCGCGAGCGGGACATCGTGCGACTCGGACTTTACGGGGGCAGCGCCCATGGGGGCGGGATCGTCGACGACGGACGACGTGGACGCGGCGGGGCTGGAGGGGCCCTCCGACGAGGAGACGGAGGAGCCATCGGAGGACTCTGCAGGAGAGCCAGCGGCGTAGGTGATGGTGCGCGCGTCAGAGCCCTTGGCTATGGCGACCTCGAGGGCGGCGCGGGTGTGATGGATCCAGTAGCGCTCCTGCTGGTAGAAGGCGGTGAGGGAGTCGAGGAGGACGACGGCGCCATGTGCGGGCTCGAGGGCGCGGGGAGAATGAGGGGGGGTGGGGAGGGCGTTCTGAGCGAGGTAGTTCATGACGGAGGGAGGGAGTTGCGGGAGCAGGCTGGGATTGGTGGGGAGAGAGCGGATGGGGGAATGGAGGAAAGGCAGCTGGTTGGTTGCGGAAGGACATTTATACTTTTCTGTGGCGAGCGTCGAGTCTCGACCGCGTAGTGCAAGACGAGGACATCTCGCCCAGGCCAATAGCGTTCCAGGCCTCGTTCGCTATAGGCAGCTGGCCAATGAGAAGCAGGAGCGACGTGCGTCCAATCAGGGCGTGCGCGATCGACGACCCGGCGGATGGGCACCCAGCGTCATGTGCATCCCCCGATCGGGGCCACTTCCTCCGCCCAATCACACGCACCCGGCGTCCCCCGGCCGGGCCCTTTCCTGATTCGCTGTGCACGACTCACGCTCGCGCTACGATGATCCTCCCTTGGCTGCTCCTCGCGTGCGCCCTCCCTCCCGCCCTCGCCGACCCCGACGCTCGCGTCTTCCACCGCCTCGT